CTCATCTGAGCTACGCCTGCCCTGCAATAGGAGTACCCCCAATGCGAAAACCCCCAGTGGGAATTGCTCGGCCCTCAGTACTATTACCCTGAACCCAAACCCTGAACCCTGAACCCTTAACCCTAGGGGCTATTAGGACCCACTGAAACCTGATGGGGCGCATTGGGACTGCTTTGGGGCCGAGGGGCTCCTCATCAACTTGTTGTAGGAGGTGCTTGGTAGGGCTATAGTCCCCCTTAACTAGATAGAATATGGGGTATATAGGGATCTTGTTATAATACATCCAAAGCCATATTCTATTTACTTAAGGGGGACTCTACACTTGAGTCTAAACATCGTGCATGCCAGTACCGTTTACCTTGGGAAATATGTCATGTTACTATTCTAGTACGCATACTATCATCATGCAAGGTTTTTATTGTCAGCAGTACTTGCTCCAAAAGGCTTGTGATGGGTTTCCTTCTGGGATAGATCACTTCCCCCCTCATTACAAAGCCCGCCGACCCCCACAGTAAAAGGCACTTCCAATGTGGTGCCATTTTTGTTCTAGCTGATTACTTCTCAGTATTCAGGGGTGGGTGGGTTCAGTTGCGGGGGGGTGGGGGTGCTGCCCTTACATAGGCTACTATACCTGGTAACCGGAAGCCCTGAACCCTGAACCCTAGAATCTATATATCCCTCCCTGTACATATCGAGTTCATGCTTCTGTTCTGCATCCCTCCATTCGATCCCCATTGAGCTATAGTCTAAATGCCTTAAACGGGGGGTTCTATAGGGGATGATATCGGGGAGTATTATAGGGGTTATCAAGGGGGATACTAGCAGTTTAGACTACTGCTCATATATCCTTATATGGCACTTGGCCCAGATTTCCTTTCCTTAATTGGGGGAAATTTTGCAGAGAACCACATCATAATAGAAACCCCACTATAGAACCCGTACCCACATGAATTGAAGGGCATCTCCTGGTAGCGTCCCAAAAACGGGCGTCTAACATTACGATGGAGACCCCACAAAGTGACCCGCAATGTGAGGAAACCCTAACCCTAGATAGCCCTAGATATCGCTATAGAACCCCTACTATCCTCTTTAGAGGTACCCCTAATTTTGGAAAACCCCCATATATTTCTTTTTGTATCCCATTCAGCCCATTCAGTCGGCCATGAAGTGAGGAGCTCAGCGGCATTGATGACGTAATTGAGCTCTTCAACCTCCTGGAGCACCCCGGGGCTCAGGGTTTCAGGTTGAAGTTTTTAGGGTCGAGGATGTAGGGTTGGGGGTCTAGGGTTACGGGTTCAGGGTCGATGGTTTAGGGGAGAGGTACCCGTATACATAGGGATCTGAAGCGGTATGTCAGACTAAGAAGGTTTCTGGCTTAAGAATATGGAGGGCTCAACCCTAAACCCTAAACTATCCTGAGTTCTGAATCCGAAGATCCGTCATGCCTAATCCATGGTCTCGATTGATAAAACTCTAGATATACAGCAAGTAGATTGGCCAGGTTCGGGGTCAAAGACTTTTTAAGGCAGACACATTCTGGGCCGAACGCCTCCTAGAATTAAAGCAGTGAATGTCCAGACCTATCGGGGAAGGACTGCTCTAGGAGGCTACGTAATCAGGATCTTGCCTTAAGGTACATTATTCAATTCTGCTGCAAATACATAAGGTTTAGGGGCATCATTTCGGTTGTATTCAGGCTTCCACACCAGACACTTCAAACCTGAATCATGGCCAACATTATTCCCAGATCACCGCTCACATAACTACAAGTAAATGGACCGCACCATCCAATCCTGACAAGCTCCAATATAGGCGTGAGCATTCACGGGCTGTTCCATGTCATTTTCGTGTTAAGTATTTGGATTCTACAGTACCCATTGGTCTTCAATCTATAATGGCTCCCCAATGCCTGACTGAAAAGCAGCATCTTTCATTGATGATCCTAACAGAACTATTGTATAGCATATCCAAAAACCATTTTTGACAGTTCGTACCTGAAATCCTGAATGAGTTCAAGTACCTTGCCAATCATCATGCGATTCCCGACTGGAACATACGGGATGCTTAGTATGCACAAGGACACCCTTAATCCTCAACCTTAAAACCTCAACCCTAAATCCTATTTCGTTTTGTACCCTAATCCTTAAACCTTAAACCAGCCCTGAACCTTTTTACTGTGGGGCCCACATGCGTAACCCTGTGGGCCACAAGCTGAAAGAAAGGACTACGATGGCGGCGGCGCAATTGACACCAATGAGTTCTGCGAAGGCATCCTAAAGGCCAGAGCTCAATTTGGGGTCTAGGGTTGCGGGTTTAGAATTCAGGGTTTGGGTTTAGGATTCAGGGTTTGGGGTTTGGGGTTTAGGAATTAGGAATTAGGCCAGAGCTCCTTGACTACAAGGGATAATGGTTCGGGTCCTCTTGTATTCTTATTATGCCACTATTGAAGGGTGGGGGGTCCACCTAACAGAGCTCCTTTTAGGGTTGAAGGTTTAAAGTTGGAGATTTGGGCTTTAGGTTTGAAGATTTAGGGTCTAGGGCTTAGAGTTTGTGATTTAGGTTTCAACGGTTTGAGTTTCAGCGTTTAGGCTCGGGCTTCAGGGTTCGTGGCTTAAAGACGTTATTCTGAACGAATTGCGCAGGCCTTTTTCGCAAAATACTGGGCAGTGCTTCTAGATGCATTGCTGTGGAAGTACACGCCTCACCCCTAGAGCGTCCAATTCCCGGGAACCCAAATCAGTGCATGCCTGTGAAGCATTCATACTCCCATCCCACAGGGTTGATAGTTTAGGTTAGGTTGGGCCCCCACGCAAGAATAGAGGTATATTAGGATTATATAAGGACCTTACTATTATTACCAGTATCCCTGGTAATTAGTCACAGTTAGCGGTGGGGGGCCCAACCTAAGCTTAGGGTTTCTGGGTTGCGGGTTTTACGGTCCAGGGTTGAAGCTGCCAGGGTGTGATGCGGTAGGTTCTCGGAATTATTGTTATGGGTTAAATTGGTACCCCCCTCTATACTACCCCCCCCCAGGTTCCCCCTTAATTAACCTTAATTAAGCCTAATTATTGAACCCATAATAGTTCCCGGAGTCCTAACCTAGGGATTGCGGTGACCAAAATCCACCCATTAACCTCCATGCCTGAATGAATAGCAAAGGCGCTCGCTGCAGCCAGCGAGGGCATTGCCGCTAAACATTTCATCCAAACCATCCCGCTCTGAGGTACGCGCCGGGATAGTCCTAAATGTGAAAGTAGGATTAAGTCTAGCAGACAGGCACGGAGCTTGCACCGTGCGTTTTACATACAGATGGTTGTCAAAATTATGCCCCCTTTTTGGGTACCCAAAATATACCCTAAACCCTTAGCCCTAAACAGGGATCCAAAAAGGGACCAAAATTTTGACAACCACCCATACAGATGTTGAATAAGGTAGCAGATCGGGATGCACAGTGTAGCCTCATGCGGCTCATGCGGTTTAGGGTTTAGGGCTTAGGGTTTAGGGTTTACCGTAGGACTTAGGGTTTAGGGTTTATGGCAGCCGGACGTAGCAAGGAAGTCTAAGCAAATGGAATATTCTATTGTCCGAAAGTAGCAGGGCCCTTATTTCAGAGACCCGGCAAAAGCTTTAATGTGACAAGATTGTTTTCAGAGTGTCTGTGTATGTGTAGGTGTCCTGTAGGAGCTTGTTAGGGGCATGGAAACAAGGTTTCCACATCACTTTCCTCAAGCCCTAAGCCCCAACATCCTTAAACCCTAACCCCTGAACCGTGTCGTTTTTGTGGGTTTTAGGTTCCAAAATGCATGCAGAAACCCCATTCTTTGGACTCTTAAGGCAGTCTTCGAACTCCACAGCGTCAAATGGCTTTGAGGATCCTATAGGTTCTAGAGCTTAAAATCTGGGGGTTTAGAGCTTACACATGTTTAGGTGCAAAAGGGTTGAGGTTTGAGGGTTTTGGATTAGGCTTTAAGGTCGAGCCGATACGCTGCGAAAGGCGTGAAATACCAAACCCTAAACCCTACCCTAAACCACCCAAAATATGTAAATAATAGCCGTAAACCCCTTAATAATACATACTGTTGGGGTCCAGGTACACCCTAAACCCTAAACCCTAAACAAAAAAATCATTCAGCCTGATGCGGGTATTTCTCAATATAACCCCTATATAGTCCCTACTAAGGACCCCCATAGTCCCTATAGAATCCCTATATATCCCATGGAGTCCCTAGGGTACCCCCTTTTTGAGAAACTCCCATGTACAGGCGTCTGAGAGCCAAGCCAAGAACCCAGAAGAAGCAGGGTTTAGGGTTTAGGGTTTAGGGTTTAGGCTTCAGGGTTTAGGGTTGAGGGTTTAGGGTTTAGGCTTCAGGGTTTAGGGTTTAGGGTTGCCTTCTCCTCGACCAACATGGAAGCCCTACACCCTAAGCCCTGAACCCTAAGAGGAAAACCTACACCACCCCAAGATCCCCAAATGCCAAGACTTGCACTCATCTGCGTTGCTGCTTAGGAAACTAACTTAGGGCATCATAATATGGGTATATAATGGTATACAGTACTAACTTATCTTACATTCGTGATCTACTACCCTAAACCCTAAACCCTAAACCCTAAACCCTAGATGCACTGTAGTGTCCGTGTATCTCGCGGCTTTGGTCAACACAGATAACCCTAAGGGTCCAAGTACCTAATAATCATATACTTACCCAAAACCTGTACTACAACTACTATTACCCAAAACCCAAGTACCTAATTATTGGGTACATGGACCCTCTGGATAAGTGATATGCAAAGCAAGACTTTGCTGCTTTGCAGCTCGTGGTCTCGCGACAAACTACCTGAACCCCAAAAGTATGTAAAATAATGGCCTTTTAGGCTATATTTAGGGGTACCTGAACCCCAAAAGTATGTAGAATAATGGCATTTTAGGCTATATTTAGGGGTTTTGGGCTATTATTTTACCAACTTTTGGGGTCCAGGTAATGATGACCCCAGAAGCACAATCATTCATGTGCTTCCCAGGCTTTCCACACCTTTCCAGTGCCTGCATCAGCAAATCCCCACCGAATTAGCCGCCCCACTTCTCCAATTTGCTGCAGACTGTCCATGGCATTCCAGGATGCCACAAGGCCAGAATTCGGGTCGACAATGAGCGCTTGCAGCTCTCTGTTGAACTGGTCGATGCCCATGCTGTTCTTGATCTTGTTGAGTATGAGTTCTTTGTCTGCTTCAGAGGATGCACGCATACTCCGAACATCCAAGATCTCCAAAGTGCGTGCGTGCTGCGTAATGGTCGCTTTGGATGCAAGTTTAAGCGCCTGATTCATTTGCAAATGCTTGGCTTCTGCAATTTCAGCTACACACCAAGCGCGATTAAATATGTCAAGAGATCGGTCTACTGCAATCACGTGCCTACAGCCTCCTCCTGATGCAAGGCAGTACGTCATGTCATCAAATTTGTTGATCTCTGAGACAGCACTTTGGCCATCTAAATCAGAAATATTCACACTGCTGCAATTACATACCGGATGCAACTCGTTTGTAACAGGATCGCGGTCGTAAGGATTGCTGTGGCATATGCAGATGTGTTGGTTGACCGCAAATGCACAGATCCAGTACGTGTCATCCCAGCGACCGCTCTGATTCAGGATCTGGCAAAGGAACGTGGAGTCTTCCTCCAGCAACCGCGCTGCCAACTCGAAACTGCATTCGTCCAGAGCATCCGCGACCACGGCCGCCAACAAGTCTTTAAAACCTGTCTTTTGCCGTTTAGAGCAGTTTAGGATCTGGGGGTTTGGAAAATTGTTGATTAGGGATTATGTTTTCCATTGATATTGTCGTTGCTTTTGCCTCCGGAGCAAAAACCCAGTTGCGAAACTGCATGTTGTCATGACATGATTATGTTGCTACTTGCATCTTAAAAAAATAAATGAATATCGATGAAAACATAAAACAACTCTGCCTGAACGCAAACCTGAAGCAGTTGCCCCAATTGTGGGTCACCATGACCTCGGCTCTTCGAGCACCATCCCTGTTCAAGGCTGAGAGTGCATATGAAGATTCTTCTCCGCTGGTTTGAGGAATAATCACCCTGCGGACCACATCTCTGGTTCTGTGCGCTTGAGGCACATATCTCCAATCTGGCCTTGCGGGGATGTCTGCCTGATAAAAATGCAATAAGCTGCGCAAGGTCATGCCGCGCAAGGACAGCTCTTCCACTTTTTCCTTCCAAAGTGGACTCCAGTCGGCCTGTAGTTTCCTATAATTAACATCTTATTTCCAATATTTCCTTAGGGTTATACTACAATGAAAAGTAAAAAGAATTCCTAAGGACAGTACAATATTTCCTTAGGGTTATACTACAATGAAAAGTAAAAAAGAACCCCTAAACCCTAAACCCTAAACCCCTATACCCCTATACTAAAAATTGCAAAAAAATCCTAAGGACAGTACAGCGGCATCCTTTGCAGGCACTGCTTTTGGGGATGTAAGGCGTGCGTAGCAGGAAATCTGCCGCTTCCTGGGTTGCTGTTTATGGGAAC